TTTCACCATGTTGACCAGGATGGTCTCGATCTCTTGACCTCGTGATCCACCCGCCTCGGCCTCCCAAAGTGCTGGGATTACAGGCTTGAGCCACCGCGCCCGTCCTGTATTTTTATTAGAGATGGCATTTCATTGTGTTGGCCAGGCTTATCTCAAACTTCTGACCTCCGGTGATCCACACACCTCAGCTTCCCAAAGTGCTGGGATTACAGGCGTGTGCCACCACGCCTGGCCCCCAGTACATTTTTATTTCTCGTGTGTATTGCCTGTTTGTGTCCCTTACCCATTTTCTTCTTTTTTTTTTTTTTTTTTGAGACAGGGTCTCACTCTGTCCCCCAGGCTGTAGTACAGTAGTCTGCTCTCAGCTCACTACAACCTCTGCCTCCCAGGTTCAAGCAATTCTACTGCCTCAGCCTACTAAGTAGCTGGGATCACAGGCATGTACTACTACTCCTGGCTAATTTTTGTGTTTTTAGTAGAGGTGGGGTTTCACCATGTTGGTTGGACTGCTCTTGAACACCTGACCTCAGGTGATAGGCCCACCTTGGCCTCCCAGAGTGCTGGGATTACAGGCATGAGCCACCACAGCAGACCTTTATTTATTTTTTGAGACAATATCTCACTTTGCCGCCTAGGCTGGAGTGCAGTGGTGCATTCTTGGCTCATTACCACCTCTGCCTCCCAGCTTCAAGCAATTCTCGTACCTCAGCTACCCAAATAGCTGGGATTACAGGTATGCACCATCACACCCAGGTAATTTTTGTATTTTAAGTAGAGACAGGGTTTCACCATGTTGGCCAGGCTGGGCTCAAACTCCCAACCTCAGGTGATCCACCCACTTTGGTCTCACAAAGTGCTGGGATTACAGACGTGAGCCACTGTGCCCAGCCTTCTGGTAATTATTATTTCTAAGCTGTATGATGCACATATTGCTTTCTTGAGTTTGAATAGTTTCAGATGTAATTTTGCTCTCTTATCCCCAACTCACAGGTATATACTTTGTTTTTGTTTGTTTGTTTTTTATTTGTTTTTGAGACAGTCTCACTCTGTTGCCCAGGCTGGAGTGCAGTGGGGTGATCTCGGCTCACTGCGACCTCAGTCACCTGGGTTCAAGCAATTATCCTGCCTCAGCC